GTGATCTATTTAGAAAAAAAGTGAGAAAATCGTAATACAAATGTTTGTCAATTAAATAAATTAAACTTAATTTAAAGCAACAATATATTGTTTACTTTATTATATAAAATAAATAATTGTTTATGCATTACTTGGTCGAATATGCTAACAAAAATGGTCGCAACTTGTTAAATACTCTGTGTAGTAATGTAAAATCCAATACTATAAGAACAAAGATTATGAGACAAATAAAAATTAAAAATATATATATATATATATATATAGGATGTCCCATTAAAAAAAATTGTATATTTGTTTTACCATGTTATTAATCACCCTGCAGAATTGCACATATTTTCCAAGTTTAAAAAATATCATTACTAATAGGCATACAATGTAAAAAAAAGACAAACGATTACCAACAGCCTTTAACTACGTTTCAGGAAATAGAAGTAAAGAAAGACCAGAAATATAATAAAGAGGATGAATCTTTGAAAATAAAAACTAATTAACCCAATTTAAAGACCAAGTAGAAAAAATTAAATAAAAGATGAACAGAAATAACGTAGTAATTAGTATCTACCAATAGCCGCAGTAGATAAAACACTCCTTAAAAATAACGTGAAAGATTTTAAACGAAAGCGTTTAAACTAAGATGTGAAAATAGAATATACAATGAAGATTAGAACCAATACATGTCTGGTACAAATAAAATATTGTGGTAAAAAACAAGGTGATGAAAGGAAAAAGCACACTCGGATTCCTTACTTGGAAAAAAATTTTTAGGAACAATAGATAAGATGACCGAAAAAAAACACACTTAGTGGCCAAAAATTCTAAACAAAGGACAGATAATTAAGAGCTAAAGGTAGAAAGGTGAAGATTTGGTACAAAAAACAAATTGTGGATGATATAAACTAAGAATGTGCCGAAAGTGGTTCTTTCAAAATAGAAAATTTAGGAAATATCAACCTAAAAAGAGCATATACAAGTGAAAAGAGCAAAAAGGACCTATTATTTCGATGGATCCTGAAGATGAACAGAAAAATTAGTGAGAACGGAAATAACTAAACCAAAAAATAAGAATTCGGACTTTAATATTGCAATATAAAACATACTAGGAGTTTACAAGGAGAGAGCAATAATTAACCTGATAAAAGAACTTAAGAAATCTCAAACACATAAAATATTATAGCAATACAAGAAATGTATTTGACTGGAAAAAAAAATTAAAAAGATTAGCCTATATACGTTTTATACAAGTGTATGCGATAATAGAAATTTTGGAGTGGGTTTTCTGGTACATGAAGACATAGAGTACGTAGAACAATTAATTTAATAAAATCTGATAGAATGTATGCAATTATAATTAAAGTTAAAAAACGTAATACCGGCGATAAATTTACACACATCAATAAAAGAAAAAGCAGAAAAACTGAATGATACAGTTTATGAAGAACTAAAGTCATTAACTAAAAAAATTGCTAGACAAACTCAATAGCAACGTACGAATACCGTATTGCCATTTATTACTTATAACTTTATTACTGGTGGACGAAGTAGGCGAAAATATCTATGATATCCCTATGTATGATATGTTATTGCTCTATTGTGTGAACCAGAGCTGCTCAACCAGTTCTCGAAATCGTACAGAATATAATATTATCGTAGAAAAACAAGACGATCTAGAAAAGGATACCAAACAACAAAATAAATTAAAAAAATCCTTAGGGCGTAGAAAACTATATGAATAATAAAGTGAAACCTATTGAAGAAAATTACAAGAAAAACGAAATAAAAAACTTCTACAAAGAGGTAAAATACATTAAAACTGGGTACTTGGGAAAAACAAATGAATGTTAACTAAAAGAAACCTGATAGTAGACGAAGGCGAAATATGTGAAAGACGATAAGAATATTTTAAAGAGTTGTTAAATTACTAGAGTAATTACTGGAGAAAATTATAATGTTTTTGAACCCCATATAGTATTAGAAGAAATACCAATTCTGACAAGAAAAGAAATTAAAGAAATAATAAAAGATATGAAAAAACAAAAAAGCCTCGTGGAGATCGGCATTGTGACAGAGAACTTAAAATATGAAGGAGAGGCTTTACGAAAACAACTTCGAGAGTTAATAGTAGAGGTGTGGGATGCCGAAGAAATACTTCAAGAGAAAAAAAAGTTCATTATAATGCCTATGTCGAAACACAAAGAGCTCAGTTTGCAAATTATAAAGGAATATCCTTGTTAGAGGCACTGTACAAAGTGCTCGGCATACTAATCAAAAAAGGACTGGAAATATACGTCTAGAAGAAATTAGAAGACTACCAGGCAGAATTTTATGACAGAAGATCAACAAGCGAATTAATTTTTATGTTAAAACAAATCCTGATTAATTGCTATAAATACAATATTTTAGCACAAGTAATTTTGATTGATTGCAAAGCCTTCTACGATACAATAAACATAAACAAATTAATACAAACGCTAGAAGAACTTTGTGACAATTGTAGATCTAGCGCGCCACTTCCCAGCTCTTATTTGTAAAGCACAGCATATCCTAGGGATGAATCCTAAAATACCCACCAATTTTCCTCTCCTTCCAAACCCAAAAAATTCCACAACCATTTCAACTTATAAAAAATTTCGCAGACTTTTTCAAATGGAATTAAAAAATAATAATATCAATATAAATAATGTATCAAAAATAAATTGGATAACGAAATTCACCTTTTATTTTTACTACCATTAAAAGAAATCATGTATTAATTTTAAGACGTGTGTATATTTGTATAATAACTTATTTAATACTTCCTGTGTGGGTGTATCGTTTTGAAAACGTAGGGAAATTCTTGGAGATTCGTATTCGTAATCGGTAATTCGATATGTACAGTCAGAACATTATTTTTTACCATTATTTACCATTATTAACCAAACAACTATTAAAACCAATCCAAAAAATAATAGAACAAAACAAAATTCCTCAAGAATGGAGATCAAGCATCCTAATACCTCTCTTTAAAAAGGGAGACACATCGGACCCGAAAAATTACAGAGGAATTAATTTATTAAACATCATCATCATCATTGGCTTTTACAACTCGTGAGTTTTTGCTGCGTTTACTATTGCCTTCCATTGATTCCGATCCTGTGCTATTATTTCCCATGGCCTTACTTCCATCTTCTCCAGGTCTTCCCTGACTGCGTCTTTCCACTTTTTTCTAGGCCTTCCTGTCGATCTTTTACCATCTGGTTTTTCCCAAAACACGTTGCTAATCAATCTGTCGTCATCACTTCGTACCACGTGGCCTGCCCATCTTAATCTATTGACTTTTATGTATCTTACGATGTTTCCTTTCCCAAAGAGAGTCTCTATTTCATTGTTGTATCTACTCCCCCATTCATTTGTCACGCTGTCCCTGCAAGGACCATATATAATTTGCAGGATTTTGCGTTCCCATACTAATAGCTTATTGATTTCTTTCCTTCTCAATGTCCATGTTTCACTTCCATATGTCACTGCTGGTTGTATTATGGTTTTGTACATTTGGATTTTGGCACGCCATGAGAGAAGCTTTGACCTCATTAGATGTTGAATGGCAAAGAATGATTTATTCCCCGCCAGTATTCGTATTTTAACCTCCCGTTCTCCTGTGTTTTCACTGGTTATTGTTGCTCCTAGGTATTTGAATTCTTTGACCACCTCAAAATTATGATCGTTTATGGTAATGTTGTAATTACTGTAACACAACAGTAAAATTAAAAACCAAAGTGATAACAAATAAATTAAATGAAATGATAATACTAGCAGAAGAACAACAAGGTTTTAGGTCGGGAAGATCATGTACCGATGCTATATTTATAATGAGGCAAGTGTAAGTTCATTTTAAATTATAGTTTTTTATCATTTAATGCACATTTACTGGGCATTTTAAGTGTTTTATCCCCTTTACAAGTTCCACGTACCAGAAAAAAGAGTAAGATTGCTCAAAAGGACAATATAAAAAACTATTTATGCTGTGAAATACAATAGTACAGTCACCGAAGATTCAAAAAAAGCGTTCTTCAAGAATACCCGTTGTCTACCTTGCTACTAAAGTGGGATAAATATGTACTGTACTCTTTTCTTCAAAGAGTACTAATAGCTTAGCGTACGTTGATGAAAAGGTTCTGGCAAGTATAGTAAAAAGTCTTATAGGTGGAAGCTCTTAAATCCAAGTACATGACAATTACAAATATGGAATAAACACTAGGCCTTTAAATTAGAGGTGAAAGATATATCAGTTGTAAAATTCAAGAAGATGGATGAACATATTTACTAAGCTACCCTTATTGTCCAGACATCTCAGAAAGAGACTAAAATCAACCTGAGATTTACCAAGAACAATAGATGTACTGGACCAAGAGCAAAATAATTGAGGCCAAACATGTATTCTAGAATACAAAAATTAGAGTGTACAAAACTGTAATTAAACCCACAATGCTGTACGCTGCCGAGACGTTGACTATGAACAAAACCCTACAAAACAGATTGGAAGTATAGGAAAGAAAGATACTTGAAAGAATGTTTAATAGAAAAGTAGTAGATGGAGAATGGAGAACAGCAACTAATGTGTACCCATTTTATGCTACCTCTTCAATATCGAAAGAAGTCAAAAAACATAGACCAGAATAGCTCGGATATCTATAATGAATGCATGGTAATAGTTGCCTACGTAGCTGATTCGTATTCGAGGGCGGCGGCCTCGAAGTCAGAAATATTGATTAAAAAGTACCTGATGACAAAAAAAGAGAGAAAGACTAAAAAAGTAATGGAGACATGTAGTGATGGAGGATGCTAGAGAGAGACGATAGGTCTATTACCGCTATACATACATACGCAGAATTTTTTAACAATTTATTTAGGTGTTTGCAGTTAATTTAATAGTATTTAAAATTTCCCTAAATTACCTTAATAAGTTTACTACTTAAGCTTCTTCGTATAAATTGCTTAGTAACAGAAAAAGCAATAGTAAAATTTTTTTATTTTTTTTATATTCATTTAGGTACAAGTATAACCATTGGGATGATAATTACATGAACTATGTTTTTTGTTTCCGCTAATAGATACCCCATTCCAGATAAAATTTGAGCAAGAACCGGACCCACAGAGGATATATACTGGCATTGAATTTGACCCAGTCATCGTACCTTGAACATTATGCAAATTTAAGTTTTTAATCTGAATATTATTTCCGGCGTGGCCAGTACTACCTCCGTTTTGGTAATCTTGTTGAACATTTACACCATAGTAAGATATACTTAATAAATGGATGTTATTGTAGGTGACATTGGAAATATAACCAGTTGTTCCATCACGATGGGTTTTGACATGAATTCCGTTTCTGGAATGTGTTACTGAACAATCGGTAAATGTAACGTTGCTGACAACGTTTACTGATGGATCTTTTTTATTCATACCCACTGACAAGCTTAACCCGTGACCTCCTGAGCAGTTGAGATTGGATATGTGAAGATTTTTGCCGTAGTTGACAGCAACGCAGTCATCTTGGTTTTTTACTATACTGTTTTCAATTCTAATGTTTTCAACACTTGACATATCGAAACCGTCGGTGTTGTGGCCTAAGGCGTTTTTGTCACCTGCTGAGCAATCTATGTTCCAACCACTAATCGTCGTATCTTTGGAACCTACAAATAAACATAATAAATTTTAAGAACAGCATTCAGTCAGTATGTTAAAATTTATCTATAAATGTTTAAAAATGGATTTAAATAAGGATTAAAGGATTTAATCTTTCAACATGGATATCCTTATTTTTCTAACAGCTATATAAATTGGTTCGATTTTGGACTTTTAAAATCATTTTTATATTTGGGACCCAAGAAATTCTTTCGTATTATCGTTTTTTTAACTTTGCTTAAAAGAACAAGTTGTAACATGTCATACCTCTGACTCTCAAGTTTCTTATAGCATAACCTCAATATTACCCACTTGTCCATACATAAAATTTTTAAGATATGCCTGTAACATAGGGCTTTAAAATGTTTAAAAGAAGCTTCAGGAAACGTCTAAAGATTTATACTGTGTAGCAATGAAAAACACATACCATTCGAGGTTAGAAATTTTGGTTCTAATTAGTAAATGGTGGCTTCTGTTGAGATATTTTATCATCTTGCCTTTTCAATGGGATATTTAGATTCTATCGGTTAGCTGTTAGTTAACCAAATTCAAAATATTTATTATTTCACACTTGCTGAATAAATTATGTTTTGTTGATTTTGTGTTTAGATCTAGTCCATGCTACTGCAAAAGGATACATACTTAAAGCACTAGAGAAAGTTTAAAACAAGACTAAAGTACCAGATTCACAAAAGATAAAAATGGAATTGCTCTAATATGGAGGCGTACGGATCGTATCATTTATATAAGAAGTTAGGGAGAGGAGATTCCAGAACAGTGAAATTTATCGTACATGTCTTCTATTTTTATAAAAGGTGACAAAAGTTCACCAAATAATTATAGAGGAATCAGTGTAATGATTTCAATACCAAGAAACTTTTCCACAGTTATGGAAGGAAAAATAAATATACACATGGAACAATATTGCAAAGAACAATGTTTGGGAAAGTATGTATTTTTACATTTAATATTTTTTCTGTTACGGTCCTTTAATGTGATCTTATTTATTGCTGCATTCTAACGACCTTTTTAAAATATATTATTTCCTGTTATTTCGTAAAACTTAAACTGGATATCTCATTTATGATGTTATAAGTACGGACAATTTGGCTCTCTTTTGTATTCGGTGTCACAAAGATTGAAACAAGTGGTTGATTTATGGCATGTCCGGCCTACTAGATGTTGACCATCCAACGTTATGAGAAAGTTTTTTGCCCTAGTAACGACCTCAACGCACTTCAGACCAAGACAGTGAAAGAAAAAACAACGAGTTCTCGTGCCTCCGAGGCGGGCGTCCCGACGTGGGCCAGTGATCTTCCTCTGGCTAAGAATCTTACGACATCAATATCTTCAGAGGGTAAGTCCATGTTCTTAGTACAAAACAACAATAATGAATAAAAGCAGTCAATTTCATAATTTATTCACAATTTATAGTTGCTACTTTTGCTAATTTTATGTACCAACAAATATTGCATTTTTTCTCTATAATTATTTATCCAATATTATTTAATCAGCGACCTCTTAAGTTTATCCTAAACAAACAAGTTATATTTTGAAAAGCCTGATCATGTTTAGACAATATATTTTTTATAAAGCAAGAGACAAAGACAGAGACAAAAACATAGAGAAAAATATTAAAACGAATATGACTTTTATCTACCTAATGAAACCATGACGAGGAAACAACTGTGGGGAGCAATGACAAGGAGTGTATAAGGCTTTAAAAAAGGAAAGAATAATCTAAAAAAATAGACATACCAGTACAATGCAAATTATTCACAAGATTCACTTCTTTTCGCAGATGACCAAGTCATTTTTCGCACAAGATAAGAAGGACGTGAAACATATAAGAATATTACACAAAGATTATGAGCTCTAATAACTGAAGGTAAATATGTATAATACCCAATATTTTTTAATTGGATTCGAGATTTTATATTAACAGTTAAGTTTAGGATAAGAGACTATTAACCTTCGTCTTCCCGGGTGGGGTAAAGCTGTACTCCAGATCCACATTTTTTGTAATATTTTTGAAATTAGCGCCGGTTTAGTTTGGCTAATTTTATTTTGTGTCCATTAGGGTATTGCAAATAATATCTTATTTATAAAATCAGTAAGGATGTTTCAAATTAAAAACAAATAAATTACGATCGGCTTGGGGTACATTCGTATCCCGCTTGGGAATCTGTGTCTTCTGTATTATTGGTGGCTTTGCAAATTACTACGCGCATGTGGCAACTCTAAGAACAGAACATCGAACGAAATGAGATGGTTACACGTATTCAGTTTCCCTGTCGCGTCGTGGCGGTAAGTACTAGTATTGTCGTCTCCGGGCGATTATTAGTAAACGTAGGAAATTGAGATGCATCTCGGTGCCATAACCATGTTTACTAATATCATCTAACTATTGCGCAATATTGTGCAATATTGCGTAGTTAGCCGGTACGCTCTGTTTTGGTCATTATCTTGTAAAAGACAATGCTGCAGGTGGTATAGGTACTTTAGAAAATGAAACACAGTATTTCTAAGTAGAAAAAAACTCAGCGTCAGAGTCTTTTACGGTTTGGTGTGAAAATTGCCGAGTCCTCCAGTGAGGAGCTCGACGGCTACTCCTTGAGAGTAAAACCACGACTGAGAGCGAGATCCGAAAATGTCCCATACTTAAAGTATTTTAACTTTTATATGAAACCTTTTCATTTCTCGACCAATTAAAATAATTAAAAGTTTTAAAAGTTAAAAAAGGGAGGACTAGGCAAAGTCGAGGCGCGTGATTGGTGCGCCTGGACGTCAGTATATTTTTACTTCGATTTTGTTATAGTGTAGTGTTGGCTTTTTGTATCTGCCGTACTTTGAAAATGCCAAAATGATTATCGAAAGCCGAATTAGAGCGACTTATGTTTACGGAGTCTAACGATGAATTGGAAGATGATGTCATAGTGTTCTCTGAAGGCGAAGACAGTGATATTTAGCCAGAAATCATTGAAAAGTTGTCTGACGTCACTGAAGCCGATAATGAAAATTTTCATCAAATTTCAAACCAAGCAAACGTAGAAGCTACGTCAATCCATCGTATATATCTAAAGATGGTATGCATTGGTCAAAAATAGTTTATCCTCAGACACGAAGAATTGTAAAAAATATTAAAAAAAAACAAGCAGGTCTCACTACATATAGTTTGAATTTTACCACCAGAATTGAAGCATTTTCGTTGTTTTTCTCAGAAGATCTTTTAGGAATCATAGTATCTCAAACAAATAATAAAGTCGAACAGGTAAATATCTTTATTTGATAATAACTATTTATCAGTTTACATCTTACAAATTATCAGATTCGAAGTTATTGTAATATGTTTCAGTTATTTTATTGTTTATAGGTAATAGGACATAAAAAGAACCTCTATATGAATCAAGAGGCATCTGTGAGAGTAGGACTGGAATCTACATTATATTTATCAATCGAAAAAGGTGTACGACAGGACACTGTGTTCTCTCACCCCTTCTTTTTAATCTTTACTCTGAAACGATTTTCGATAGACATTTAAGTAACACTGAAGATGGAATCAAAATCAATGGACAGACTATTAGTAATCTTTGCTATGCTAATGATACAGTCATAATAGCTGATAGCCAAGAAGCGTTACAACGACTAATAAATAGAATAAACACTGAAAGAGAATGACTGGGCTTGAAGATTATTACAGACAAGACGAAGTTAATGGTGGTTAGTCGAACACGAAATATGAAATTAAATATAAGAGTAAACAATAAAAACATTCCGAAGGTCCCCAAGTTCAGATATCTCGTTTGTTGGATAACTGAAGATCTAGATCCAGACATAGAGATACGTAGCAGGATTGAGCAAGCCAAAACAGTATTTACTAATATGAGAACCTTGCTAAGCAATAGCAGCCTACTTAACGCTTCGATATTAAGACTACTTAAAATTTCCTGGACAGATCACACAACAAATGTCGAAGTAATAAATTGAATGGACAGAGAACGAGATTTGCTGCCAATAATGAAAAGAAGAAAAACTGCTTAGCTGGGTCATACTCGTATATTTAGAAATTCCAAGTACCAGTTCCTAAAGCTTATTATAAACAGGAAAGATTGAAGGAAAACGGGGTATTGGAAAAAAGAAATACTTATGGCTTAAAAACACAAGGAATTGGACAAACCTCGATGCCTATGCACTATTTAGAGCCACACAAGATCTAGAGGAGTATGCCAGAATTGTCGCCAACATCCACTAATTAGATAGGGCACCATAAGAAAAAGTAAAGCTCCGGTTGTTTCAATATTTTAAGCTATAATTAACTTTCTTATTCTATATTTTATACAGTTTTTATGTAAAGCAAAATATAAATATACATTTTTTATTAAAAGTGTATAAATAAGTATATTAATATTTTTATACATACCAGATAGTGACACACAGTTAATCGGACAGTTTAACAAATGGATTCCTTGAAAGGTGGAACCCCCATTAGCATTGATTTTAATAAATCTGGGTTTGCGTGTGCCAGAACCTCCTTTACCGTCCCAATAATGAGGACCTTGTCCGTCGAGTACCGATCCTGATGCACCATATACGTGAATACCTTGACCACTTATTGATATTAAAGGACCATCCCATTGTACCCCAGACCAAATGTAGTTTTTCCTTTAAAGGTTAAAGTACTACCTACGATCAATTAGTAATTAGTAAATAGTAGATTGCTTTAAAAATTCAAAAAATATCAGAACCTATCAGTCGAAAACCGACGATACGTTAATTGATGAAATAATTATCCATCCAACATCTTAGGAGGAATTTAAAAAATATAAACGTTGAAGAAACGGATTTTAATGCCAAAGTCGGTAGGGGTAGATGTGGTAATGCGGTCGGTAAGTTAGGTCTGGGTAACAAAAATGAGCGAGGAGAGTTACTAACTGAATTTTGTAATGACCACGATTTGTGGAACATTGTGGAAAAAAATCGATTTTTTAATTTTGGCACCTACATTATTTACTTTAAGTTATCAATTTGTTGTTATATCTAAGTTGGACGCAGGAATACAAAAAACAATGTTAAGGCAGGAGTTTTACACAAAATGATTACATGTTAAAATGTATGAAGATGAGTCAAAATATATAATATACAAAACAGTTTTTGGACCCACAGATCTCAATGCAAGTGTGCTAGTGTGTCAAACATATGTGCTAAACCAAACACGACAAAAAAAAGTAAATATGTGGGAGAAGAAAATATTGAAAAGAATTTTTGAAGGTATTAAAGGGAAAGATAAAAGAGGACATTAAGACACATCAAAAAGACCGTATATAACAAGTCATAGAGAAAAACTAAAGTCTCAAATGCACCAAACCAAAACTAGGAAAAAAAAACATAATAACTATTAAAAATGAACAAGGACAACTGGAAAAAAGTAAATCTGATATAGGAAACTAAATTGAAAAGTTCTAAGTCGATCTGTATCGCTTCAGAAACAATCCCCCTAACTCCTTGAAGCAAACTCCTGAAACTGAAAAGGCAGATAACAAATGTTAATTTAGAAGTGATGCCCAAAATAAGCCACGAAGAAATAGAAAAAGCAGTAAAAGAAATAAAAAGGAATACAGCTCCTGGAAGCGACGGAATCCTAGCAAAAATGTGAAATGAATGCGGAGAAGAATCCATCACATATCTAAAAATACTGTTTAATAAATTTCTATTCAAAGGCAACATAACCTAACAATAAAATACAACTAAAACAAAACTAATACATAAAAAGGGAGACACCACAGACCTGATCAATATTAAACACCAATTTCACTTCATCAACAATTTTACAAAACCTTTACAAAGATTATTACAAACAGGTTAAAGAATAAATTTGATGGATGTCAACCAGTAGAATAAGCTGGATTTTGAAAAGGGTACAGGACCTGTGACCATCTGTATACTTTAAAACTCCTAATAGAAAAGACTAACGAATACAATCTTTCATTATGTCTGGCTTATAGATTATGAAAAAGATTTTAATAGCGTAAAACAGTGGGCAATAGAAGAATCATTAGTCAACAACCAGATTGACTCCAGGTACATAATATTAATACATAATATTTACGACCAGTAAAAAACAACCAAGGCGTATGACAAGGAGACACAATATCTCCAAAATTATTTACAGCTGCACTAGAAGATATCTTTAAGTCAATAGACTGGGAAACTAAGGGAATCCCAATTAAAGGAAGATACTTGAGATATTTTAGATACGCAGATGATGTAGTACTAATAGCCGACACGTGAAATGCACTGAATACAGTGATTGAGGAGCTATACACAGAATCTCTGAAAAATGACAAAATGAATTTCAGCAAAACTAAACTAATGTCAAACAAAGATGAGAAACCTTTGATAAACATCCAAGGTAAGCAAAGAGAGCTATGGAACAACAGATGCTAGGTATCTCACTCAAAGACCATAAAACCAATGAAGACATTCGTAATGGGATAAAAGTAAACGATGCTGTCGAACAGGCAGGTAAATTGAAATGGAAATAGACTGGACATAATGAACGTCTTAGGAATGGCCAATGAAATAAAGAAATTGGAAATTGGCGGCCATATAAAGGCCAACTGCAGAAACTGCAATGTGGAAACGTCTTACAAACAACAGAGATGAATGGCGAGAATTGAGAGAGTTGACTATCCAAATAGAGAGAAGGTTTAAAAAAAAAGAGGAAAAGGTATATGTTAGCAGAACCAATGCCAATATATTGAGTATTTTTAAAGAACCTACGATATCCAAAGTTGTAAAATATTTAATATTGAGTTGGTTTGGACATTTAAAACTAATGAATAAAATACAAAAAATATATACCAAATAGGAAGATGGATGACAAGAGAAAAGAAGGTCGCAAAAAAAGAGATGGTTGGATAAAGCAGAAAGAACAATAAAGAGAAAGTTATTAGAAATTGGAGAAAAAAACTAAGGACCGTAAACAATGGAGAGCAATTGTCAAGCTATGGGCCTAAAGAGCTTGCGTTAGCACTATATATATATATATATATATATATATATATATATATATATATATATATATATATATATATATATATATATATTTAGAAATTAGTTTTTTTATTATAAAAACTATAGATTCGAGTAATATATAGTTAAAATAACTTAAATATACAAAATGTTTTACCTGTTTGCAAATGGAGATTTAAAGTTTTTCCAGCTGGAACCAATAAGTTCTCCACCACTATATTCTTACAACTCTTGACTATATTATCGACTTTATTAAAATCATTTATAGTACAGCTTTCGGTTAAATTATATCCGTATCCAAAGGATACGAAAGAAAGTACCACAAACACTATAATTAAAATTTGTCGTTTCATTTTCCTGTAGTTACGTTTGAATGGTATAAGCTTTTATTGTATTGCATTTTCAAAACAAAGTACTTGAACTTGTAGAATGGGTTATTTGAATTAACTTAATGATATAAATTTCTCTTTGAAGTGTTCACTATACAGGTGCGTATAAAATGTATTCGCATGAATATCAAACAAATGTTTTTTTATATTAGACTAAAATAATTCAAGAAATGTTGTTTGATTTGTATTTTGAGAACGGTTCTCGAAGTGGTAATCGAATAGACAAATATTAGTATTTTTAATAACAGATAAAAATCCTTTCAAAACTTTAACGATTTAAAAAATAATAACACAGGCCTGCAAAAAAAGATTTTTTGATAGTTGTTTGAAATTTAATAACTGAATTTTATGTACGTTTAAGCGACGATTTTAAAAATTCAAACCATTTTTGTCTATTACGTCAGGTTTCACTTTCTCACAAAGTAGGGAGATTTTTGGAGAATATGAGTATAATAACAAAAGTTAAAGAAATTTTTCACCTTTTTCCCACGTCATAAAATTTATTTGGTTTATTAATCATGTTCTAAACTATATTTCCAGTACAGTTACATTTCTCTTTAAGCTCTTAAGTCCCTATAATAACGCTTGCGCTTTCTTTCAAAGCTTCTTTGGCTGCTTTTCCGGCTGTGGACTCGTTGTGGATCATTTTCTTTCATTATCCAGCAGTAGTCTGCTATCATGTTCACGTTCCATCTTTCTGTGTAGCTTTTTTCCATTTCTTTGATGTCTTGGTGAAATATCTCGTTTTGCTCTTCACTAACAAACATCACCAAGATTTCCCAGGAAGTAGTCAAGATATGAGTGGAGAAAGTGAAGTTTATTGCTCATGTTACAGTCCAGCTTCTTAAAGCTGTCGATCATGTCTGCGACGATTGGCTTGTAGTTTGGATCTCTTGTCACCTAGGCAATAGGATTTTCATGCTTCCTTTGCATTTGGTTTCTATTTTGTTCACAAATTCGGGATCTGTCTTTAGTTTTCTAATGTCCGGTCAGACTTCCGGAAAAATCTAAAGGAAGATTCCTTCCTTTAGATTTTTCGTGGATAAACCAGCAAACTCCACAAAGATATCTGAAACCTGTATTAGTCAATACCTTGACAAAGTGTTTCATTAGCTCCAACTTAATATTAAGTGGTACAAGTAACAACTTTTTGGGATTTACAAAGCTTTTCCTCTCAACATTTTTAACCTCTACTTGTAAACCTTCTCTAAAGGTCCAATCTTTGTTTATGTAGTGTTGCTTTATTACTCCACTCTGTCACTCACAGAGAAAGAAAGGAAACTTTGTATAGCCCCTTTGTTGATCAGGCAGCAATGAAATCACTTATAAATGACCACATATTGTTCATTTGTGATCTGAAAAGAAAAATACAAATTCCTTTTTCCTACATCGATACTAAGAAAAGGATGCATCTGGAGCCAACATATGTTTATTTTTCAATCTATATTCTATAACTTCTGCCGATTCTTTAGAAAGGCCTAGATCTCTTACTAAATCGCTCAGTTGAAATGGTGAGAATGGAATGGGATCAATGGTGCCAAGATCGTAGCAATTACTGTCTTCTTTACTATCACCTTGCTGATCCAATGGTTCGTGATTATCTTGTATGCCATCCAAAGAATCTGGAGGAGAGTTTATTGGTACTTCAGGTCTACGAGAGACATGGCGAATGGCTTATTGAATGTTGGGGTAAGAAATATTCTTGTTGTTTCTCAAATTAAAACCTCGTACGTTGCAAGAACAAAAATAGCAGTCATTACTGTGATTTTTGGGCTCCCTCCAAACCATTGGTATTCCAAAACATAAGGACTGCTTACCTTAAAATAGTTGCCACAGTTTTTTAACACACACTGAACAAACTTTATGTGGGGCCCAAGGCTTTTCTTGATCACCTAATTTATACGAAAATAAGCGAAATATACTTTTCCAACGAAATCTGAAACGTCTCTTAGTTGCTTTTTAACGGTATAGTTACCGCAATAGGAACAGTAATTTGGCGAGTTTATACATCCTCTGGTAGCCATTATTCAATGTCTATACAACACATAACTTCCCAACTCAAGAAAACAGTCACTACTTTAAATCACTAGTAACAACAACACGTGAACTGCATCGAGTGAAGAGCTGTTTGTGAACTGTAGATCAGTAGCAGAGGCTCACTGGTTGTTAATTTTGGGAAAAGGAGTGCATGAGAGATAGGCACTGATATTCTTCTAATTACTCTTTATTATATTATTTTGTAAATTAACTGTACCTGATGGAATTTTTTTACAATTTTTCCCGAAATCAATGATGAAAACATTATGAAAATCACTTATAAAATTTTAAACAATTTTTTGGTCGCAGATCTGTGTAATTATTGCTAAAAAATATCTGCTTCTTCTCGTTCCTCCTTATAAGCAACTCTGATTGTTTATTGGCCGAATAGCACCTCTATTGAAGGATGTTACTCCATGTTTTGCGCGGTCGTCCGATACTTCTTCTGACGATTGGTAACCTCTTGGTTATCTCTTGCTATTTTGACTACACGAGTCTCCTCCATTCTGCTGTTCCTCCATTCTTTTTTCTATTTTGTGTCACAACAAATATACTTCAAATATATACCCCGACCGCCGACTGGAAATATGACCATAAAGTCAAAAATTCCTATAATTAAATCCTAGACATCTTACAGAACCATATTAAACATGTCTGTATAAATAAATAAACTCCTCATGGTCTTGGATAACCTCAAGATCGATGACAGAGATTGTATAAATTTTGTAATGATAACAATATGCTCATTGCAAATATCATAATTATTACTTAGCCCTTTGCGTCTACTGCTGAACATAGGCTTCCCTCATTTTTGTCCATTTTGCCTTATCTTGAACACTTTTCATCCAATTTCTTAACATTTCTTCATGGTGGATCTATGCACCCGCTTGCTTCATTGGCTGGTAGAAATCAAGTTTTTTCCCAAGACGATGCGTTGCTATTCTTGTAAGGAGTTTGTATAGGTGACTTCTTCTTCTTAAAGTGCCCTCTCCTCAATGGAGGTTGGTTACTATAATTATAAACTCTTTTCTATCTTCAGCTGTTCTTATTACCTGTTCAAAATTTAGCCCTGTCCATTGTCGGATGTTTCTGAGAAACGATAGTCTTTTTCTTCCTAGGCCTCTCTTTCCCTCGATTTTTCCTTTCACTATAAGTTGGGCATATTGGTACTTATTATTTCTTAGTATGTGGCCTAGGTATGATGTTTTTCTAACTTTTACTGTGTTAAAAAGTTCTTTTTCCTTGTCTATTCTATGCAGCGCTTCTTCGTTTGAGGTATGCGATGTCCATAATATGTACATTTATTTTTTCGAAAGATTTTCTAACCTGTTCTATTCTCGATTGTATTTCTAGATCAGGATTTAGGCTGCTATCGATCCAACATCCCAGGTACTTAAATCTATTGACCTGCTCTAAAATGTGCCCATTTATTGTGCAAAGTTGAGATACGTTTTGGTTTTTTTCGGATTGACATCACTTTGGTTTATTTAATGTTTATGTTCATACCAAATTGCTCACAGGTCGAGTTGGTCTTGTCAATGAGTTGTTGTAGACCTAAGTCGGAATCCGCAATTAACACTGTATCATCGGCGTATCTGATACTGTTGATATTTACGCCATTCACATTGACTCCATCCTTGGAATCCTCCAATGCTTCTTTAAATAGAAACTCGAAGTAAAGATTAAACAGCAGAGGCGACAGAACATATCCTTGTCTAACTCCCCTCCTAATTTCTACTTCGACGGATGTGGAACCTTCGATCCTAACTCTGGCGCTTTGGTTCCAGTACAAGTTTTTTAAGAATTTGATGTCTTTTCCATCTAAACTGACTTTTTGCAAACGTTCTAATAATAGGACGTGTCTTACTCTACCAAATGCTTTTTCGAAGTCTATACCAAATGCTATAGATACGATTATGTTCGATTTTTTAGTAGGACTTTTACTGCATGACTCATAAGGCTTATCAGACGGAACTCATTGCAGTGTTGTGGGTTTGGCTTTTTTGGTAGTGAGATGAATATTGACTCCAGCCAATCTTGGGGTATTTTACCTGTATCATAAATCTTCTTCTTCTTCAGGGTATTTTACCTGTATCATAAATTCGATTGAATAAAAGGCCAAATATTTCGATATTTTCTTCGCTGATTAATTTTAACGTTTTTGGGTATATTCCGTCTGGACCTGGGCGTTTTATTTGTTTTGGGATGAATAATTGCATTTATGATTTCAGATTTCAGAATTACTGGCCCTTCGTTGTTATTTTCCAATCATGGTTCTTCTCGTATGTCGCGAAAAAGAATTTTAGTATAGTTTTCCCATTCTTTCAGTTTATCTTCCGTTGATTCTGGTAGTTTGCCATCCGTGTTCAGCATGGTGTGAAAAGTCGTTTTCTTGGTAGTCAATGTAAACTCTTTTACCTTTTTATGTGAATTAAAAAAGTCGTGCCTTTGTTGCAGTTCTTCTATTTCAACGCATTTTGTTTTCAGCCATTTCTCTTTTGCTTCGGTTATTTTTTTTCGAATATTATTCGATTTAGTCTTTTGTATTCTCCGTCCTTGTCATTTTTTCCTTTAGATTCTCTTCGTTTGTTCATTAATTGTAAAATCTCTTCTGTCATCAATTCCTGTTTGTTATTTCTAGGCGTTACTTTTAGATGTTTTCCGTTACATTGTTCATTTGTTCTTTAATAGTTTTCCACAGAACGTTTATGTCATCGTACTCGCTAATTCT